GCGTAGGACTCTCAATCAGGCGACTCAGGTTCGAGTCCCACCATAATTATATTATTCTTTTTTTTTTTACCTTCCCAACTTTTTATAGCTCCATGCCCAAACATAAATTTACTGAACTTATCTTTTAAATAAACTGAAGTTTTGTTTTCAGAATCCCAAACAAACTACCAAGAAAACAAACAAATCAATAACAAACAGGTATTTTTTTTTCACTTTTATTTATTGTGATGATTTAATATCCCTTTATTCAAAGAACTATGCACAGCATTTCAACAACATTTTAAGTACACATTTACTTTTAAAATTCACCTACACAATATTGACACTGCAAGATAAGATTTATCGGACTTAAAGGGCATGTACAACATTTGCTTTTGCTGCAATTTTCAGAAATAAATGGATTTGGAGGAGAATGTTTTAGCAAATATTGTTAAAATGACTTTTTTCACGTTTGGGCTTGTAGATGCTGGAAAAGCCAAGAAAACCAGACATGTATTTGCAGTCTGGTGACCCCACTTTTAAGATAAAACGGAGCAATTAATAGACTTTGGGGAATTGTAAGGTCAGAGAATCAGTCTAGCAGACTTATACCTCTTCACAGGTGTATAATCAATTGCAAAGAAAATGCGGAATAACTAATTATAAAAAAATTGGGAGCAATTTTTAAAAAAATAGCCAGTTTTCTCCAATGCTTGTCGGCTGACCAGCGTTGGAAAAGTACCATTTTTCTTTAAAATGTCAGCACATCAGGAGCCACAATTTTACAGTATGCTTTAGACTGTCATTCCCCAACAATCCAGTAAGGTATTTCGCGATAATTTGATCATTTCGTTTTGTGATGTTTGCAAATGTTGTATCTTCCCTTTAAAGAAAGGCAGTAAACATTTAATGTTTTTACAGATGAAATAAAGAAATGAAGTCAGAATATCACACAATATTGGAAAAGAATGTTGCAACCAGACGCCAGTTCAGCGGTTGTGTGCAAAGTCTATGGAGCGTCAAGAAAAAAAGTATTTCTCAGTCCCAGATTCATGTCCTACCAGGGTCATTCCATGTCAGACCAACGCACTTTTTTACCTCATGTCTTCCGATTTTAATAAAAATCGCTGTGCTTGTAGGTCCTAATGAGCAATGAATACACACCAATTTTTAGCCCGATCCGACCTACCATGTGGTCAGGGCAGAAGCCACAAAAAATGGCATTTTTAGAGTAAAATACCACCCTTTTGGTATAAATATGTCAAAACTATGGCAATATTCATCGAATATATGTGGATTTGGTATTAAAATAATGAGGATTGCATGCTCAAAGCACTTCTTTTGTCAAAATTATATTTTGTGAAAAGTAGGTCATGTGACCTTTAATATGCTATCGTGACCTTTGACCAAATTTTTGTAATAATGTATCATTCCGAAAATCAACGAAATCAAAATAACTTGCTAGAGCATGTCTTCCTCTATCAGAATCTACTAAAAATCAGTTGGGGTCTTCAAAATTTACAACTTTATGACTACTTTTGTACAGTTGGTAGGTTACAAATGAGTCAATTTATAGACTTTACATAAGAAATACACCAACACAACTTACTATTCTGTTTCTTAAGTTACTAAAATTAATCTAGATTTTTATGTATAAAGTACAAAGCCAGGAAAAACAAAATTCTACCTTCTGATTCCAAAGAAACTGTCTAATCAGAATATCTGGACTCGGAAGTGTGCTAACCACTAACAGTTACCAGGCCTTCACCCAGTACAGCGGACTCACGTCCAGGTGAAATTCATCTCAAAGAAACAAAATGCCAAGTCTGTGAGAGTCATTAAAGTTCAAGAAGCACAGTGATGAATGAGTAAAGGTAACTTTGATTGTAATATTAAGTATATCTTCAAGCAAACTTGAATCCTAGACCCTGATTAGTCCATCTATTCAACAACTGTGTGATTTTAATATTGCACAGCTATATTGCACCCCAGATATTAGAAATGTACGTGTACATATGTTGTGTTATTTCCTGCAGAACGGACCAAAACAGTACATGTATGCACGTACATATCATCTTCACCGCGTGTACGCATTTGATATCAAGTTTGCTTGAAGATAAATTGGTTATAAATCCCACTTGCGCTCGTGGAACACGGAATTATGTAGTGCATCGAGTGGCATATGGGTCACAGCAGCATTGCATTATTTCATATTCCAAGCGCGTTCGTGGGATAACTAATTATCAGTGGCACCCAGGAGGGGGGGGGGGGGGGCTTGAACATACCCCCAACATTGTCAATTTGTTTGTTTGATTTTAGGCTAGTTTTTGTTGGTCCAATCTTTAACAGAAATTTGAACAAAAAAACGATTTATGACCCCCCCCCCCCCCACCAAAAGCCAAATCCTGGGTGCACCACTGCTGATAATCTACACTATGAGTCTGGTTAGACCTCATCAGCCCTCAGAATGAGAAATTCACAAACCAAGATATATTTTAGTAACTTTAGAAACAGAATAGTAAGTTGTGTTGGTGTATTTCTTATGTAAAGTCTATAAATTGACTCATTTGTAACCTACCAACTGTACAAAAATAGTTATAAAGTTGTAAATTTTGAAGACCCCAACTGATGTTTAGTAGATTCTGATAGAGGAAGACATGCTCTAGCAAGTTATTTTGATTTCGTTGATTTTCGGAATGATACATTATTACAAAAAATGGGTCAAAGGTCACGATAGCATATTAAAGGTCATGTGACCTACTTTTCACAAAATATAATTTTGACAAAAGAAGTGCTTTGAGCATGCAATCCTCATTATTTTAATAACAAATTCACATATATTCGATGAAAATTGCCATAGTTTTGACATATTTATACCAAAAGGGTGGTATTTTACTCTAAAAATGCCATTTTTTGTGGCTTCTGCCCTGACCACATGGTAGGTCGGATCGGGCTAAAAATTGGTGTGTATTCATTGCTCATTAGGACCTACAAGCACAGCAATTTTAATCAAAATCGGAAGACATGAGGTAAAAAAGTGCGTTGGTCTGACATGGAATGACCCACCATCATTTTTGCAATGGATGACTTCATTGAGATGATATGAAGAAAAAGCAGCATCAGGTTGCAACATTCTTTCCCAATATTGTACATGAAAAAAAAATATAGTATTGACAATGTGATAGATTGCCTTTGAGAAAGATTCTGTTGGATTGAAATTTCTGAAACTGACTTGGGACATGGATGACAAGATTGACTTTCAAGGATTTGTGCAGACTTGGGACTTGAATACAACCTGGGCCTAATTGCATGGCGCTGCTTAACAGTTACCAGAAAAGCTGTGCTCATTACTACAGCAGAACATTGTACCATCCTTAAGCACTCATGGCGTGGATGTGCTAACGGTTCAGCACGCATTGAGATCTACATGTACATTGTTACGTCAAAAGTTAAGCAAATTGTTCCTCTGAGGTATTAGCATGCCTTTTGCTGTGTTTACTGCTTACGCTAAGTTAAGCAAATTGTTCCTCCGAGGTATTAGCATGCCTTTTGCTGTGTTTACTGCTTACGCTAAGTTAAGCAAATTGTTCCTCTGAGGTATTAGCGTGCCTTTTGCTGTGTTTACTGCTTACGCTTAGTTAAGCAAATTGTTTCTCTGAGGTATTAGCATGCCTTTTGCTGTGTTTACTGCTTATGGTAAGTTAAGCAAATTGTTCCTCTGAGGTATTAGCATGCCTTTTGCTGTGTTTACTGCTTACGCTTAGTTAAGCAAATTGTTCCTCTGAGGTATTAGCATGCCTTTTGCTGTGTTTACTGCTTATGGTAAGTTAAGCAAATTGTTTCTCTGAGGTATCTGAGCATGCCTTTTGCTGTGTTTACTGCTTACGGTAAGTTAAGCAAATTGTTTCTCTGAGGTATTAGCATGCCTTTTGCTGTGTTTACTGCTTACGGTAAGTTAAGCAAATTGTTCCTCTGACGTATTAGCATGCCTTTTGCTGTGTTTACTGCTTACGGTAAGTTAAGCAAATTGTTCCTCTGAGGTATTAGCATGCCTTTTGTTTACTGCTTACAGTCTCAGTAATATAGACGGAGAGGCTCTGCTGGCAGAAATTGTGTGCTAAGCAGCGCTATGAAATTGGGCTCGGTTCAAATCACTTATTTTCAATTTGTTTCCTGCCTTCTGGACCTTACACCCTAATTACCTGACAAACGTGCTCTGAAAACTTGTACATGTATATTCATATCAATATAAACCATTAATTAGTATAATTACATTACGTACAGATGACTACCCCCCTCCTTGAATAACCATTCCTGGCCCATTCTCATGCCGTTGGCTTGTCTCTAAACAGGCCCCAGAAACTCCAAGAAAACAAACTTGCAGAGTTGTCCTACATGTAAGCAACATTTGTGACGTGAACATTCATAATTATGATGAACATTTCAATGCTGCCTGACTGACTGTCTGACCGAGTCACTGAGTATTAACTGATCGAGTCAGTCACTATTATCACTGACTGACCGAGTCACTGACCAAATCACTGACTGCGCGATGAGTCACTGACCAAGTCACTGAGTTGATGACAGCCACTGAGTCGCTCAATGAGTCACTGAGTGATTCCTTAACCGAGTCACTGACCGAATCAATGACTGAGTCACTGACTGAATCACTGAGTCGCTGATCGAGTCACTGAGTCGCTCACTGAGTCACTGACTGAGTCACTGACCGAATCTGACTGAATCATGGAGTCGCTGATCGAGTCACTGAGTTGTTGACTGAGTCACTGACTGAGTCACTGACTGAATCTGACTGAATCATGGAGTCGCTGATCGAGTCACTAAGTTGTTGACTGAGTCACTGACCAAGTCACTGACTGAGTCACAGAGTCCAGCTTAACTAGGCAAGCCTACTTTGTTTATGCCATGAGAGACTAGCCTCTCTCCAGAACTGTTGTTTTCTCCTGCATAACCATCTTACCAAAGCTAAATAGAGAAATATTTCAAGGCAAATTTCCCATGCGTCAAGAATAATTAAATCACCCCTAATCAACAGTATCGTTCCATTATTTTATTTTTGGAAAATCCCTTTGCAAGCAGGGGTTTTTGGAATGTACAAATTTAAACAATCTCAAGACTATAGGATAGGGACCACCTCAGGAAACTGGTACCCTGTTGTCCTTGGCCCACTTCTTCATGACACGGATGATGTATTCCACCTGTGGGTAACCGGTGTTGCGCAAGATTTGGAGGATGTCTCGCAGTGTTTCTCTGTAGAGGAAAAAAAATGACAAAAATCTAGTGGCTTGAACTTCACTGGGTTTTGTGCACATGAAAATGAAAGCTATTAACAAGATGGACTTTGCGTCGGGGTGATGTAAATGAATGTTAGGTTTTGCCCTTAACCGATGTATAAACACTGTATACTCAGTGTGTTACCTCCCGAGTGAAAGTTGGGAAAATAATCACTTGGGTGGGATTCGAACCCACGACTCGACCATCGAGCTTACAGGGTTGGTTGGCTGGCCAGGCAACCAATTCCGTAAGCTTGATGGTCCAGTGGTTAAGACGTCTGCACTAAAAAGCAGGAGGTCATGGGTTCGAGTCCCAACAGAGTGATTTTTCCAACTTTAACTCGGGAGGTAACGCACTGAGTATACAGTGTTTATACGTCAGTGAAGGGCAAAACCTAATAGTGAAAATGAAAGCTGTTTATAGAATATTGGGGGAAAAAGGAAAAATCCATAAAGATCAATGAATTTGAACTAGAGGGCTAAGAACGTGAAAAGTATTCATGAAAATTTGTAATAAAAAGCCGTATCCTCTCTGAGTGATCCCCGTTTGATATTTGCCAGGTCTGCATCGTGACTTTGGGCGTGATCCCTGGCTGCATGGCATATGCGGGTTGAGGGCTTCTGACTAGCGCCCCTTTGACAGAGACATTGACAATTAGGGAACCGCCAACATTGGGCTGGATAGCTCAGTTGGTAGAGCACCGGAGTGATATGTCAGTGCGCACTGTTTGATAGATGTACTGTGGTCACCTGACCAAAGGTTGAGATCTGATTGGTCAGTGTGCACTGCTGATTGACAGAGATGACACCCACCTTGGTTCATGACCAGCTATGATCTGCTGGAATACGCCCACGCACGCTCCTCGCTTGCCTTCCCAGTATTCAGGATTGGGGTCCAATCTTTCCAGGACACCGAAAGCCTTGGTCGCATAGTAGAACTGGCCATCTACCGATAGAAAAGATGAGATTTGAGGATCGAGAGACCGTGACAATTATATTTTGAAGTCGAGCAAAAAAAATCAGAATTCCGAATGACAAACCTGAACTTTTCGATCATATCGCCACAGTGTTGACAAAGTGATGAATTTGTCCCAAATCAATATTTTTAAGCAGTTTGGGATTTTTGGCTATTCTAATATTTTAAGATGCCCTCTACATGCTTACCAATGTTTGTGACACAAAAGTGCATCCTTCATTATTCAAGCTATAATGACACAAAGTCGTAAATGTGCAACAAATCTTTCTTTTTTTTTTTTTGACGGGGGTTCGTATTCTCGTTGATTTTACACGTGAAAACAATGTTGCAATCAGACGCCACTTTTGTCTTCACACATCATCTCAATAAAGATGAGTCATTGCAAAAATGTTTCACAAACACGAATCTGCAGAAACATTTCCAATTTTGTTCAGAAATACTTGGAAAGTTTTCTTGACTCGCCATAGACTTTGTACACAACGGCTGAAGTGGCGTCTGGATATGTGCATTCTTTTTTACAAGTGTGTTATATTTAGATTGACATTTCCTCTACGATTTGGGTTTTGACGAAGTGACAAATGTGTTTTGTGAAATCGGCTGCAGGTTGAGATTGAGTGACTGGATACTAATTTGGGGCTAATGCCAAAATCTTGACCAAACATACAACGGACAAAAATAGGGGATGATGTTTTACCTTGTAGCCGTCGTTGGCAATGAGCTACAGCAGGCTGAACGATTCGCCAGACGTCTCCATCTTAAGGTACAACTCCCAGGCTAGTCTGGCCTTACGATTCACGATGCCTGAACAACGATAGACAACACAAAGAAAGGTTATAAATACATAGGATACTGCTGTAAGAAAACACATCGGGGTCCACAAAAGATGGTTCGGTTCAGTGGATGCTCGTTTCAGCAATTTTCGGCCAGCAATGCTCAGTGTAACTGTGTACAATATTTGGGAGCCAAGAGGGATGTTCAATGTAGCGAATTCCTGTTGTACAATCTGCTTAAAATGTGACAGAACAAATCCAACATGGCAAGTATATGATTAACATGTGATGTTTACACGTTTAAACAAAAAACTTTTAAATCCGCTTACAATTTTTTCAAAACATTTAAACTAAACCCGAATTATACAAACGGGACCTCCGTTCACGCGATCTTCCTTGGAGATAACCACACATAGCACAAATAATTAACACAGATTTCAAACCTACTTAATGTAAAAAACCTTAGAAGCACTGTAGTACTTGATTGCATTTGGGGAATACGTAGTTACTTTATCAACGACTGCCTGCTATTTACTATGTCAACCATTGTTGATTTATCATGTCAATCACGCCGGTGTGCAGATCAGACATAATGGGTAGGCAAAAGCCACTGTCAATTGCTAAACGTTTAAAACGGTTCTTAAAATATTTGCTTAACGTTTACAAAATGAAACGCAAAGTCACATCCTTAATATACGATCAGGGCGATGATTGCATGCTGGTTATGTCATTGTTAGAGACCCTTCAGTCTACCTCACACATGGGCAACATGTGCATCTCCCTAATGCCACTCTGGATTTTCCAGCAGTACATGAAATGCATGCACGCGACGTGTCGTGACTTTAGTTGGACATTCGGTTGTGCAGTCACAATTGTGAGTGGTCAATACATTATGAGTTGAGGCTTAACAGGTGGATTCATTCCCATCATTAGCAACTTGGAAGTTGGAAGAGGAAACGTCATTCACAATTGACGGTAATACTCACAGCATCTTGCCAACCAGAGACACGTGTAGTCATTCTTGATCTTCTCACTCTGAATGAGCACAAAAATCTGGAAAACAAGAGAAACGAAACCCACTCCAATTAAATCATGGTAAAACAAAGTGTTCCCACCAAAACAGTGGTCTAGGAGGCACAGAGAGATCCCCATCCGGGTTTTAGACTTGTTTTTTTTATGCCTATTCGCCCTGAACAAGGCTAAAAGCCACTCCAGATATACAGGGCTACAAGTCGGCGCAAAGCAGCTAAATCAACCACACCATCTCTGCCCTCATAGGCACCCACTTATAAGCCATCAGTGTGGGGGTTTGGTCGGTATCAAATGAGGGGAATAATGCTCATTGTGATTTTTGGCAAGGTATGCACCCCTCTAGTCAGAAAATATGTGATAGCATTGCAGCACTGGCAGCTTTTTGGGTGCTATCCCTTTTAATTTTTTTTTTAAATGGCAGCCAAAACATGCTTGTTACAACATACAATTTATCTGGTTCAAGCATATTGACGGCAATTTTGAAAACACAAATCAAAAGTGATAACACTGCCACCACTCACACTGCAAAGCTATCACACATTCTCCAACTCTAGATGTGCCTTTCAAAAAATCGCTATGAGCATTGCTCTTTTCGATCGTCTGGTACCGGTGGCCCAATTTTTGGACCAAAGCTGATAGCCTATTACTCCTGGGTGGGGAGAAGCAATGAGTGACAAAGTGCCTTGCCCAAGGGCACACGCACTCATGACCCCAGGCTGGACTCGAACCCACAACCTGCAGCTTTACCCGCAGACCACGAATCCAACGCCCTTAACCACGAGGCCACAGCACTCCACACTCCTCTTGAATCAGGACAGATCATAGGTTGGAGGGAAATAAGCACCAGGCAAGGAATTCCAAAGAGATGCAGCACGTGGGAAAATAAGCTATTGGAATATCTTTTTGTTCTACATCTAGGTATACGGCAACAGTATATGGATGAGAACAGACAGAAAGTCGGGCTTCTCTCTCAAACAGGGCCGACCATCGGTGGGAATTGATACAAAATTCCACTTGTCTTGAAAATGACAGCACACCAGGTGCCGTGATTTCACAGGATGCTTGAGACTATTATTCCCTAACGGTCAGGTATTTCATAAAGTACTTGGTAGTTTTGGTTTTTTGATGTTTGCAAATGAAAGGCACCATGACTAGTTCAGGCACCATGACGAGTCGCTGCGCCATGACTGGCCAACTATTGAGGGCGCAACAACAAATATTGGGTCCGGGAGTCCAACCTACCTCCTCTGCTTCCTTGTAGTTGCCTGCTGTGGCTTTGGCCTGCGCATAGTTGTAGTTGAACCTATCGTCGTTGTAGAAGTAACTCTAGAAACGTAAACACACAAAATGTCATCTTAGTTTTTCTGATAATTTTCCCACCTGCACTACTTTTTCCCCCCAAAAAAGGACAAATACAGCTAAACCAGGCCACAGAAACAACTATGAGCAAGTTGGGGCGAGACTAGTGGTCGATTCCTGACGTAATTTGATGCCTGAGCACTAATATCAACATGCAAACGCCTCTAGTCAGACGATGGTCAAAATTGGTCCTGAATATTAGAGGGCGATTGGCAATAAATATTGTCAGGTTTTTGGAGAAAAGTTCAAAAACGAATAGTGAAAAAAAGTAAGACTGCTGCAAACTGCTTACTGACTGGGTGGACCTGAAATATATATCTAAAAATTAATGTGGCCTGACGTTGCGAACTTAGCAAGTTCTTCTTCAGAGGCTAAAACAGAAATGACAGAGGCACATACATTAACAAAGGGGTGCACACAAATTTAAACATGCAGGGATGAAAGAAGAAACACAAAAGGAGGATTAGGTGCGAAAGGTGTGGAAAGATGCAGGGTGGATGAGAGAACAAAGAAACAAAGGGAGATGGCAAACCACAAGGGGTCTGGTATGAACAGGGGAGGGACCAGAAAGGGGAAGGATCAAAGGTCACAGGGAGTGGGAACGGACAAAAGAGTGTGGGAGTGAAGGGGGATTATGCGGGGGGGGGGACAGTATGGAGGTGGAAAGGGATGAAAGATGGGGGAAGATGGGTAAACACAAACAATGAGGACCAGGTGGATTATCTGTAACAGAAGACAATGGAGGAAGAAAAAGATTAACCCTTACTCTCTGAGGGTAGTTTACTGCATGTCAGTTGGTTATGCCAATGCCCTCCAGCTGCAGTTATTTGGCAGATAACAAGTCTTAACAGTGAAGGCTCCAATTGCAGGAGTTGGAGGCCCTGGAGGGTGCCTGATACTGACCAGCTGGGGGCACTCACTTTGTTATCAGAGGACTCTCATTGTTCTCTGTGGCATGTATTGGAGTGCCTGTCCAGTTACCCTTGAAATGACATGGCAGATATTGGAGGGCCATGCAAAAAACATAAGAGATTTTCTTGAGGCACAATTGGCATGCGTTGGAGGGTCAAGTAGGGTAAGGGTTAATCATTTCCAAGTTGGATGTTGAGACCATGTGGTTGAGTAGTTCGAAGACGATTCATCCACACTTTCTCTCTGCTGAGGCGAACTGAGTCCTTGCGATGGCCAAGAGATTCAATGCCCTGCAAAATCATATCAGAAATGGAGTGGTTAGGCAGGTTGAAGTGATGACCAACAGGGGTGTCTAGTTTCTTGGTGTTGACCGGTGGGCATAGAAACGCTTCTTGAGCGTATTCTTAGTCTCACCTACATACTGCACTCCACAGACCCTGCAAGAAATGAGATATATGACATTAGAGGTGTTACAAGTGATGTTACCAATGGTTCTGTGGGTAGTGACAGAAGAGTGGCCAGAAAAGGAGTCACACTCCTGGATATGAATCTGGCAGACAACACATCTGGAACTGCATGCACTTAAAAGTACCATGCTGGGTGGGAGGGGATGCATCTAACGAAGGGACTTCAGCTCGAACAATCAAGTCCCGTAGATTTCGAGGACGCCTGTAAGCCAATGTGGGGCCGTTGGGGATGGCGCGGGCAAGGCGATCTGAAGTATGGAGGATATGATGATTGTCATTAGTGATTTTGCGAAGGGGAGGGAGATTGGGGTGAAACGTGGTGACCAAGGGAATCATGGGTTTGGCCATGGCATCAGGGGCCTTTCCCGTGAGAGCTAGATTTCTGGGGATAGCTTTAGCTCTGGCAATGGCACGATGAACTTGGCGAGAGCTGTGACCCCTGGCCACCAAGTTGTTCCTCAGTATCTGTGTATGGCGTGAGAAATCGGAATCATTAGAACAAATTCTTCTGAGTCTGAGTGCCTGGCTAAACGCTATGCCAGTTTTGCAGTGCCTGGGGTGACAGCTGGAGGAGTGGAGGTACTGGTGGGTGTCTAGTATCTGTGGGTTTGGAATACAGGTCAGTGGTTAGTGAGTTGCCTTGTTTGCGGACGGTGACATCCAGAAAGTGGGTTTGGTGAGCCGAGAACTCCGATGTGAATTTGATGGTTCTGTGGAAGGAATTGATGTGGTTAGTGAAGGTCAAGAGACTGTCCTCATTGCTTGAGACCCCTTGTGGTTTGCCATCTCCCTTTGTTTCTTTGTTCTCTCATCCACCCTCCCCTGCATCTTTCCACACCTTTCCCACCTAATCCTCCTTTTGTGTTTCTTCTTTCATCCCTGCATGTTTGTGTGCACCCCCTTGTTAATGTATGTGCCTCTGTCATTTCTGTTTTAGCCTCTGAAGAAGAACTTGCTAAGTTCGCAACGTCAGGCCACATTAATTTTTAGATTTAAAAACGAATAGTGTCTAACATTAAATGCATTAGATAAAATGACCTGAGAGCAAATATGCAGTCCTATGCCCCCTGTCTGTCTGGCCTCAACTCCATTTTCAAAGCTGTTAATGAAATAAAATGAATCAATAAACATTACTGCAACTTTCCTAAAAAAATACAGCGGTGCTGTTGAAACCCCTCGGCCTGAGTTTGTTGATATAAGGTGCAAAATTACAAGTACATGTAGTACAATAGTTAATACTGGTCAATGGAATGACCTAGACCTTGACCAATGACATTGACCTTTGACCTTTTGACCCCCAAATCATTCCAAACTTGATTTTCCTGAAGGGCAACCCCTGAAGTTACAAACCCGAATCATATTTCTAACTCAAATTATCATCGAGAAACAATCCACCTTCAACTCACCACTGATATACTCACCCACAAATAAGAAATAATGTTCTAACATACTTCTAGTTGGGTAAAGTAGAGATATATTCATTTATTAATTAAGAATTTGCTAACTTTAAATAACCTTTTTAGTGTTAACCTGGAATTTTCCAAGATTTACGCAAGTGCGCTGTGTTAGGGAACACTAAGCTAATTTTTGGCCCAATTTCCGGACGCCACCGTTTATAAATTTTGCTCAAAATTGTATGACAGTGAAATTGTTTACAGTACTAGTAGTTAAATGGCAAACACTATTGAAAAAGTAGGCCCTACCAGTAACAACTGAATGAATTTGAAGTTTATCAACAAAGAAGTTTGGCAACCGTGCATGAGGAAAGTCAGGAGAAACGTCGCAGTGCGCCACGTTAGGGAACACCACTATATGTGTGCATTGATACTGGGTTCTTAATTGGGGTAGGTGCGGTGAACTAAAAACAATAGGCCCTGGCCCTGCTGACTATATGACTATACAATCATGGAGCTATAAACAGAGGTCTTACCCAACAATGTATGCAAAGCATTCCAAAATACACCGGAAAGACTCCCATACCTCAGACGTCACTGACCAACAAAGACTAGGAAATGTCCTTTGACATGTTTTCTCAGTAGGCATGCCATGGTAGCAACTTTTCCCTGCTAAATCCAACATTTTTGGACATATTATCCCTTTTAATGGTGATATAGGTCACTGCAGGGAAAAATTAGTGATGTCCAGATAAATGGGAATCTTTCCAGTACGCCGAAAAGAAGTTGAATTTTGAGAAATAAATAGTCCAGACTTACCTGACGTACAGGCCTATATAGCCTACCGCTACATTATCTGCTGCATTAATGTTGATCGATAACCAAACAACAGGTGGCGCTCTTTACAATTAATGATGTCAGGTACGGTACAATCTCATTCAAGTGATGTTGAGCAGTACGCGTTGCCATGGTGATACGTCATCACTGTGCTCTGCATCCTGTATGTGCTCCACAGTTGACATCCTTGGTAGAACCTTCAAACTCCGTCAACTTCAAGAAACAAAGCAAAACAAGTTATTTTAACATCTTAACCTTCTAATTCATAAGGTTAATTGTTTTCATCTGCTATTTTTGGAAAGGTCATTGTTTGAAGAATTTGGTGGACAATAATTCTGAAATTTGAGAACAATTTCCCCCAAAATTGACAAATTTACAAAAGATAAAAATGGGGCCTGTAGGGCCTGACCATACTTCCTGAACTTAGTTTAAAACCCTTACACTTACAGTTCTGGAAGAATGACTATAAAAAGAAAGTCTAACAATGTATGCAATTCAAGCATTAATAACACCCTAGGCCCTTTTTGCTCAGAACCATCCTCAATCCTCCAAAATTTTGCAACTCCGCCTAAATTTTTCAAAATTGTCAGACAGTCCTGCCTCAAAATGCATTCATCGTCAATCCTCCAAAATCCTCCTCATCCCAAAATTTTGCACTCGTGTTTAAATGAAGGATAACCAACGCCAAAATTCCTTCAAAATCATCAGACAGTCCTGCCACAAAATGCATTCACCCTCATGGAGGAACTTCCTCCAAAATCCTCATGTGCTTCAATCACCATTCATCCTCATCCTCCAGAATCCTCATTTGATTCAATCACCATTCATCCTCAATCCTCTAGAATCCTCATTTGATTCAATCACCATTCATCCTCAATCCTCCAGAATCCTTCTATGCTTCAATCACCATTCATCCTCTATCCTCCAGAATCCTCATTTGATTGAATCACCATTCATCCTCAGTCCTCTAGAATCCTCCAAAACCGCCAGGAGGATTTTGGAGGAGTGAGGTGGGTTAGGGTTAAAAAATACTCCGGAAAGATTCCATACCTGGAGTTCTGGACATTTAGTGAAATGTCCTTGGTGTTTTTTCAGACAGTAGGATGCTGGCAGAGGCAGTAAGCATGTAGGATGGAACGCCGTATTATCGCGGTACTTATCACGTTTCTTGTTTGGAATAGAGATTGCTCGCTAACCTTCCCGAATTGTCCTGTCTCTTAGGTTGTATAACTCTTCCTTTTCAAATGCCTGTGAAAATAGACATGCTCGGAATGTGCGAATGGAGGTGGACTCCCTATTATCGCGGTATGTGGGAATTGTGGTTTTTATAATAATCTCAACTTTTTTTTTTCATAGTGAATGTTTTACCAAAACTTCCCCTGAATAAAGTCTGATATTTTCCCTGTAACGTTCAAGTTGATTAAACTTGGACAGACTATATCCCTGCAGGATGATTTCTTAAAACCCTGCCCTTCCCCGAAAGGAGAAGAAAAATTACTGTGACAAGTCTACTGATTGGTGATTGGGGGCGCCATTGAGTTACACGGTGTCTGTTTTATTTTTTTATGCGCTGTCCTTATTTTGATCCACGACTCCACGATCGATTTTCGGAGGTAGGTCGACTGCGGCAATCGATTTTTCGAGGTAGGTCGACTGCGGCTCCACGCCTCCACGCAGCCGTACGGAGGCGCGGATGTAGAGTAAAGTGGCCCTGCATTCTATAGTTGTACCCCTGAATCTTTTGGAACCAGACTAAAAATAAATAGGGACTAAGATGTTTATTTTTTATCAGCCAATCAGCATCGAGCTTTCATCGCAGCGAGCTTTCACGTTTGCCATCTTGGTTTTTGAGTCTGTTTTCTGGTTGTCATCGTCGTCTTTTACCCCTGAATTTCCCTCATAAATCAAAGACAAAGCCCTGCCCTCTTTCCACAAAATTAAAAACCTGCTGATATTCAAGAAGGTGTCATTGCCAATTGTTCAGATGTGCCAAGAAGTCAATTTTGAGTGTCATTTAGTCAACTGTTTTGGTGAGTCTTTCCCTTCCTATATCATGTATATAGGAATGGGGTCCTAAAAGTAAGGATTACCGCGATGGTAACTAAAGTAAAGGGACTCCGACTATAGTTTTTTGGTACAAATTCCCCTGCTAAATCCAATATTTTTGGACGTTTTAAACAGGAATGGTGGCATAAATCACTGAAGGGAAAATTGAGTAATGTCCAGATATGGGAATCTTTCCAGTACGCCGAAAGGAAGCTGAATTTTGACAAGTAAATAGTCCAGACTTACCTGATGTACAGGCCTAGCCTACCGCTACATTATCCATAATGTTGATATCGGATAACCAAACAACAGGTGGCGCTCTTCACAATTAACGGCGTCATATACAATCTCGTTTACGTAGTGTTGAGCTGTACGCACTGACAAGTACTTAATACAGGAAAGAAAGTTACAAAATAAAGTTAACCCTGGGGACGAAGTTGCGAAAAAGTTTCGTAGTCCGAATTTTCCCATCATGCATGCGGAAGTGGAATCGTTATTCGTTTTCCGTTTTGCTGTCGAGAATGGATTTTGGATTCGAAGTCCGTTATCCGTTTTTCTTTTTGCTTAGGAAGTGGGAATGATTTCGTTATCCGTTGTTCTTTTTGCTTAGGAATTGGGAGAGTGTTTTTCGTTATCCGTTTTTCTTTTGCTTAGGAATTGGGAAATGGTTTCGTTATCCGTTTTTATTTTTGTTTAGTTAATGCGGGGAATTAATGGGTTATGAGATTGTCACTGCACTTGACACCGTTAATTGTGAAGGGCGCCCGCCTGTTGTTTGATGATATACCCCATTATTGTCCGAATAGCGCAGCAGACAACTGGATAACGTAAGAGTACCGCCCTAGACAGTCTGGACTTTTTATTCACACTTTAAAGACAAACAAATATTGTGATCACCAAAAACCTGCTTTCGGACATTCATTCAAATTTTAGGCAGCTATTTTTTGTGGTTTGAGCAACGCCATTTTTTGTACACGTATTAATTTCTTTTATAATATTTTGAAAGTCGTGTGAATGTTGTGCCCATTCTTGAAAATCACGCATTCTCGAGAATGGGCAAGCACATTCTTGAGAATGTGCAACTGGATCCTTGCTCAATCTTG